GCGGGACGTGGTTCAAGAAGTAATATATGTTAGGGGGCAGACGTCCGGCAAACATCAGTGAGCGGCAGGCCACCAACCCCCTAAACCTGCGTCACAGCAGAAGGTAAGGAATTTTGTTCGAGAGATGATACAGGGGCGGTTGGGCGAACATTGTTGGTGGTAGCAGGAATTAGGAAAACAGCTGCTTAAGATAGACCTTAAAAGCGAGTTCACACAGTTGTAAGCAAAACTGAGCGTAGCATCCAGTTATAATTCAAGGTACTTAGGGAAAATAGTGGTGGGAGATAGTTCTGATACGTTCCCCCGACACAGCTCCAGAAGTCCGTAACTGCTACATCACCATGACCCAGGGGATTACAATGGGCAAAGGAACTTCTTGAGCCAGGAGTTTTTCTATCACCCCACACAATTCCTTAGTTTAGCGGTCGAAATTGCTTCGACCGCTAAACGCTCGAGTTTCACCCCAAAGTGGAACCCTAAAGTTGTTTGTCAGTGACGAATGATGAGAGCCACCAAGAGACGGATACGTAAAGCTTCTTAACCGAAGTACTAACATGTGAGGACATCCCACGTAATGACTTTTTGATATTGTTTTACATCAAAATTCTATCAACGCCTACAAAGCGTCCTACTTCGGACAAATGGTGTTTTTTAGAAATGTAGATAAGTCCCAACCATGGCCAAATGTGCAAAAAGGGAGAAACCGATGATGAAATGTGGCTGTATTTTTGAAACAGGGAATGAGGCCAGTGTTATTGCCTCAGCCACATAGAATCCTGTCAGTCCTCACTACATACCCTCGTCATCCGGGCAGTTGATTAGGGCGGTCGTCAACGGGCCGCAGCGCGTGCCAGGAACTATTTGCTTTTTCCAGGCTAATTTAGTCATTTTTTCCCAACTTTTCACTGTTTTGGCTACTTTTTCCCAGATTAGCAGCTCCTTATCTTCACAAGGTGGAAAAAATGACTAAATTAGCCTGGAAAAGCAAATAGTTCCTGGCACGCGCTGCGGCCCGTTGACGACCGCCCTAATCAACTGCCCGGATGACGAGGTTACTTAACATACACGCAGTAGTGTGCGTCAGCCAACTGGTCTGACAGGATGATTGAGAAATCTTTTGCAGTAACATCGGAAGAAATATAATCTGGAGGATCGTTTCTGAAATGGAGCAAAGGCAACTTCCTTAAAAATCCAAATTGTCATGGCATAGCCCAATGGCCATCGTACACTGGATTTGAGATCATGAAAGAAAAGAGAGGGAACCTATCGTTTTTCTCTGAAGATACCACTGAACTTATCGGCTAATAATCTAGCTTTTTCAGTATTTATGGTGCACTTCCTTTTTCGGAGTTTTCCTGTTCCAGTGCGCCACCCATACAGCTTGAGGAATCTAAACGGTTCTCGTGAGATGCTCCATAGCCGGGACCAGTTCAGAGCACGCCACGCGTTCTCTTGGTCACCATACACCTTTCATTCACAAGATGTTTCGGATCACAAGCGCAGAGGATGTACCATTTTAGCTGAGATGTGGTAGGCGGTGGCTTGCGTGCCTCAACTAAAGGTGGCGCGTGGCCTGGTGTTTTTGGTGAGATTTTTTTCATGTGCGCATATGTGGTGAACACTGAACAATAGTGACATGTGCTACGAAGCTAAATTACTCACGGAGCAAGCCATTCCATGCCACTGTTCTGAATGCTCATGGCTCCACTCGCGTCCTCATGGAATAGGAGGACCCTGGTCCCACTTTTGACAACTAACCTAGCGGTGCGGTGGTTTATCTACTGCCTTTTTCCGATATTCCCAGACTGACAATGGGTGATAAGGGAGAAGAGCTGATATTTTTTCATATATTGGCCAGAACAGTATGGGTGTCTGTCATATGTCAATGTGACTGTAAGTTGGGGACTTCGTCAAAACCACTTCCCAGGGAACGGATCGTGACTGTGAATGGTTGATGGGGAAGGCAATCATTTCACAGAGCATACACACGACTCGACTCCGCTCACAATGGGCGTGCGTCGAAGTGAACGGTGCCAAGGACAAAAGTTCTCAAAGCGCATTCAGAGCGACCCACGGAATGGGGAATACGAGTGCTCGTAAGCAACTGCTTGCCGGATGAAATGAGGGAGAGACATCCGTAGTGAGTGAGATGTGCACCGATGTGCAGCCCGGTACGCATTGCTAGCAAAACTTCATAAGTCGATTACGAGATAAATGATGGTGGCGTATATGCAGTGAACATAGCATGTGCTTGGATGGATGGGGACCAGAACCGAAGATTTATACTTCAATATTTATTTTATTTATTTATTTATTAATTATTATGCATATTATTTAATATGTTCATTTACTGGTCTATCTATCCATTCATTCACCTGTTGTTTACTGTACAACAATTCATCGATCCGACAAGGGAGATGGATGACGATCCGACAAGCCCTCAGTCGTGGAGCTTGGGGAGAATATCCACTTCACACGCAGAAGGAGGGCAAAGCACGTCCCTCTCGTCGCTGGGTGTGCATGCCAGGTTCCACGGGTATGTGAACGATAGGATTTCTAATTTGCCTGGCGCCTAAGCGCGTCGCGTGCCACGATCCGCGTCCGCTAATGACGACTATCCAGGTGGTATTATTTATTTATTTAATTAGCACTTAAGTGCACCATCGACAGCAAAAAAGAACATGAATATTAAGAACATACAACTCGAAGGCAAATCAGATCGCTGAAAGGCAAACCAAACCGGTGGCAAATCGAACCGAACAAAGGAAAAACATTAACCGACCGATTAGGCAAAACTAAAGTACGGACGGGAAGTAATCAAACGAGGCGTACAAGCCGAGTAGAACATGGCAACAATCGATCGCACATTAACTCATATTGGTTGCGAATAGAAAAATATATGACCAAAAATGTACATAAGTGTCCACCATGTCCTTGTCTATTGGAATCCGATGCCCCAAATGAAAGAGTAGTGCAAGTTCAAGGAACGTCGCGCTCATTGCCGCGCGCGACGAAGCGGCAACATACGATTCTCTTGCCCGTTTTCCAGATTTCACCACCGCGCTGGAAGCTCGGTCATCGCGCCCGTCGCAATGCTGTACTCAACGTGTTAGAGCATGTTCAACATGCTCTTGCCCTATGCTGGGAACATTGCGTTTCTTGAAATAGCTTTCAACCTCCCGGGATTTAATCTCTTGATCTATGGGACAGCTTTTTTCCATCCTCATGCGGTCGTAGGAACGGAAAAAAATGTACGAGAGTGAATGTGGCACATAGAAGGTCCACTCTCTATTAGCTCTCAACGGTTAAAGCAGCGTCCGCGATCAACCAAAGTGAAAAAACCCTCCATTGAAAACGAACGCGGAGTTCGCAATCACAGCAGAAATCCCACTCCTGCGGCTCGAAATGTATTGATTGACGAGGGCGGAGTCAACAAGAGCTGAGCTGACACGCCTCCTTCCCTGTTAATCACCGCCCGACTGTTGACAGTTATCAATGCTTGTCCTGGCATTGATATACGCTGAATTTCTAGAGTTCCGAGGCGGCGACGTGTATTGGAGAACTCACCAGAAGTTTGCGAAACTCGTCCACATGCCTTAAATTTCATAGGGTCTTATTTCACGCTCTTCCACACCTTTTTCCTGCTTTTTTTTGATATAGAGGCTTTATTGCCACTGTTCTAGCCGAATGTGACGCCTGAAACCTGCAGAGTCCATCGCGGGCGCTGTCGTGTTGAATCTAGTGTAGCCCGCGAGCAGTGGCCTAGCTCCCGGCGCGGAGGTGACTCCTGCCCATCTTCCCTCTTCCCCCTAAGCATGCGCAAGTCGGCAAGAGGTCTTATGTAGAGCATATTGGAAGCTTGCTTTTTCACTACTGAATTACTAACCGTATTTGAGCCTTATTGCGTACCATCCTTTATCGCGGAAAGTGTCTCTAAGCGCAAGCCACGAATAGAGTCCTAATCCACTTCCACTGGAATGGCCTGTGACCAGGCGTCCATGTGCCCTATTCTCCGGGCTATAAGGCGCACCCGTGTATAGGGCGCACCTTCAGATGCCTCGAATGCTTCACATTTACTTTACTTCTGAGTGTTTTTATTTTGTTTCTATCCATATTGATGATTTAGATTCAATAAGACGTGCCTGCAAACTGACTGAAGGTTTCTGAGAACTAACCGGAAGATAAAATTAAGCAGAAAGGCAGTAAAGATGTTGCTGGGTCTAGCAACTTTTCGCGTGCATTGTCGCGTGCGACTGTGCGAAATGCGCCGTGTATGGGTGCGTTCATACTTCGCGATCGGATCGCGCGACACAGTCAACGATCCCGAGAGGGGTTCACCGCCAAACAGTGCACCGCTGTAGCGGTAGAATTCAAACTGGCCGCGTTCACGCGGCTGTGCATCGTTTTTCGGTGGAGCGCATCCGGTCGACACTCGGTCGCGATCTTATCGCTCGACTGGATCGCGCGATCCGATTGCGAGGTCGCGAAGTATGAACGCATTCCACTCCTTCCAGCTTCACGCAAGCGTTGTCGCGCACGACTATGCGAAATGCTCTCTATACTCCTGAAAATAGGGTTAGGTGCTTAGTATATCTTTCCAAATAAAATATTGAATCCGCTCAGTTTCCCTGTTATTGCCGATTTCGTTATGTCTCCTATCCTTTCGGTTCCCTATTTCTGCTGTGTGACGCTAAATGTGAGCAATGTTCAAAGTTGCATTCATACCTTGGTCTCCGGCAGACAATCACGAGAATCGTGCGAACGGGGCCTCGAGAACGGCGATCAATCAATATTACCTGACCATTTTCGCGGCCTCTCCTATGGCCGCCAGCGTTTGCTCCAGCTAGAACGCCAGTCCTAACGCATTCGTATTTCTGAGGTGACTTTCCGTATCCGTCCTTTAGTGTCTTTTAATTACTTCGTTTTTCACATCGTTCTGTATGGTAAGCATTTGCATAGTTTCTTGTAATAATACTTCTTATGTTGCAGGATTCACAAAGATGTCCAGTTTTGTTCACTGCATGGTTTGTTTTGCTTTCCCAGCCGCTGACTTGAAGTTTTATTTATCCACTTGTGGTCATGTCGCTTGCCTGAAATGTGTCCAGAAAGGTAATTCAGTTATTTTCCGAGTTTTATTGTTTGCCCAGTAGGTCATAGTAGGAATGAAGCTGTTTACCTCTAGTTCGCTACGGATGGTTGTGCGTGTCAGGTAGTTATGAGTGTGTCACCCACTCAAAGCCGTTCTCTGCCCTCTTGTTGAAACGCGCATGCGAAAAAGTGGTAGAAAACGAGTAATACGAACGATATGATACGGTCATATCATTGCTCGCTTTGACAACTGGTGGAAAACGGGTTTGGCACCGCGCTCGAACTTCATTCCCCTAGTGGCATGTACGACGATGGAAATACTGATTTATTGCTCTCTTATAAGCGACACTGCAGCGTACGCCTAAGTCCGTTGTCCGGCGTCTATGATGGCGTCTTGCCAATTTGATCAAGTGCGTCAGTCAAGATGATGAGCGTAACGGACGAGCTTGCCTGCAATCGCAAACAGTGTGGACGCAGAGGCCGGCGTGAGGGGCATCACGCCATTCGACCTTCTCCCATTCTTGTATGAATACACGTGTGCTGGCGCACACTACTTGCGCCTACGTAATGAAGAGTAGCTGCCTAATCGTTGAAAATTAAAAGAAAAGAGTAAGAAAAGAGGGCTAATGCCGTTTGGACTCCAGAAATTTCGGCACCGAGCTCATTTTTAAATTGCCTAAGTTACCAAATCCGCTAAAAACTTGTATATAGGGGTAGTTTAACATCCTGATCAAGAATATGACATTCACTCTTGTCGCTGGCGCTAATGGATGACACTACGATTATCTGCGCTCTGCTAAGGCTGAGCCCAGGAGGTGATCGTAGTGTCCTGTCTTGGTGCCAGCGACAAGATTGAATGTCATATTCGTAATCAGGATGTTAAAGTACCCCTATATACAAGTTTTTTAACGGATTTGGTGACTAAGGCAATTTAAAAATGGGCTCGGTGCCCAAATTTCTGGAGTCTAGACGGCAGTAGCCGAGAAAGAGTGGGGATCATCAAAAACGCCAACTTCATTTTGTTTTGAACACAAGAGAGATCGTATGTAACCCTTAACCTCTTTGACTGGAGATTTTTGATTTTTCCTGTTTCACATGCATTGTATGCCCTTCCGCTCGGCATGCCTTAAAGGCATTAAGTTCCCTATACACTATAAACTAAGAAATGAAGTGAAGATAATCTCTTATCCATTCTTACCAATTGATATGATCGTTACCAATGTCCAATTGAGTGAACCTGATTTGGCGTGAAAGATGTGCAACATTGAAGTAGAATGACGGCGGCAATGCTCCTTATGAGTTCCTATCAGTTGCTATCCCACTCCGTCACTCATCAGTAATAGTAATCCCCTAGATCGCTTGTTGGAACCAACTTCCTATTGTTACTGGGACGGGCTAGAAATAAGGCGACGGCTGAGTTTGAATTCCCCTTATAAGATCGTAACAGCCCTTAACACGTCCTGCCCATCAGTTATGTCCCTGTCCCATAGCTAAACCATATCTTGGAAGAATGTCGTACCGTTGCTGGGACCGGAGCCATGAATTCGGTGACCTCCGCTTCTGGGTGCATCCTATCTAATCCTAACAACGTAACAAGTCCCACTGCTCACTGTGCGCGACGTACGCATTGGTGGACAGTCTCCTTCTAGGGCCCTTTATCAGCCTTTTTATCAGTTGTTATCACTTTCTGTCACCCAGCAATAGTGTTCCCGTCTAACGCGCTATGGCTCAATCGGAGGAAGCTATGAGTGTCTGGTCAAACACGCACAGACATGCAGCTCAACAACCATGACAAACCAACCATTAGCTCATTATATATAGTAGGATTATACGAACTAGTGAAGTGGTTAACCGTTGTTGTTTTTCAGGAGCCATGACCCTACGGTGCAAAGTTTGTCAGAAGAACAACCCGCAGGTTTTGGAAATAAACAGGAACCTCAAACCGGAGGTTATCGTGCGTTCATGATGACTCCGATTGTATTTATTAAAAAGCTATCTAGAAGTTGTCTTTATTGTTGTATTTTTTAAACTGGGTGTTCCAACACTATTAAATAATGAGTTGAAAGTCATGCAATAAGCATGACGTGCAAAGTGTCGCATGAAAGGCATCATGCGTTAGACCTCTTCAATCAACAAGTCTATGCAGACTCTCAAGGCCCACTAGAGGTAGTGTTCATTCCTTGCGCGAACAGCTAAACTGGAGAATCGCGTTAAAGAAAAGAAATCGCAGAATAAAGGAAAGACGCAGTCGGATTGGCTAATAACTTTTGGAATTTATGTTTTCGTTCCATAGTGTTTTTCTTCATCAAAGCAGGCTGAGTAGTGATTAGTAGTTGAGTTTCTGAAGAATCTCTTTCTGCTTTACTGAGATGATACTCTCTAATCATTCAAGATTTTTTTCTAGACTGAGAAAATGTATTCACGAGGCAAAAAGACGCATGTTCCGACATTTACTAATGTTCGCGCTCTCCCGATGGTCAAAAAGCTGTTAAAGGAGTTCGGCGGGCAACCTTACAGCGTAGTGTGGAGATAGTCAGCGAAAGGAAAAAAAAAAACAAAGGACCAGAGATGGGGAGGGACTCCACTGCCATGCCAGAACCTTCCAACACCACAGAGGGCGCCTTGTGAGTAGTCCCCTCGCGGCAGCGGATGCTTATCCCATTTGGTGTATGCCGTGCTTTTTCGAGCCTTACAACAGTGTCGTTCACTCTAACAATAATGGGCCTACTACCAACACCAGTTTCCAAAGTTTCCAACATATACTGGCAGTGTCGTTATCTCTAAATAAAGGGCTCTACTACCAACACCAGGTTCCCAAAGTTTCCAACATATTATGGTGCAATAGTAAAGTCTGCGGTGTGCTGTGGTGTCTTCCAACTCAAACTATGGCGAACCTCACTTATGGAGCAATCGCAGCTACTGCATCCTCTTCTCGCACGAGCGGGTGTCCCAAGCTGCTTCAGTAGTTTGATCTCAAACAGAAGTATATGCCATGTCGAAAAAGATAGTTACTGCCACCTAGATACCCTTTTCTGAACATAAGTCCAAGAAATCCTTTACCGCCCGTTTTCTCAGGATTGATCCTCATACATTCCTTTTTGCGAGTATCTATCTACGCGAATGAATGAATGCAGCTTACCGGAGTTTTACTTCTGGGTTTTTTTTTCATGAGAAATTGTGAGAATATCAGTTGTTCTTTTGACCTTTGTTGAAGTTAAAGTTTCTGTTAAAGTTTTGGAGGAGGTTGAATCACCCCCTCCGAAACTTAACAGAATGTTTGTATAGAGATCATAAACATAAAGACACTGTATTCTGATCCAATTTGAACTACTTTTTACAGGTTTTTCTATGCATATGCACTTTCAGCTTCGTCAGTTATTCGCACCTCTAGAGGATTTTTCGACAATCGTTCGCGAAGTAACTCGTGTTGCTGATTTTCAAAATGGCCACAGGATGAGAGTAATGAGGCATCTACAAAGCAAGGTGGGAAATGATTCACCCGCTTTCAATAGTAGGCCGTTCTTACCCACCCAACATAATGGTTGTTGCCATCTGAATGCCAGTCAACTGGCAACAGCTTTTTATTACGCACCTAGTGTGAGCTTACATTAGCAAGGCGAACATTATGCTTCGTTATCTGGTACTCCGTAGCCGGACTGAAGCTTCATTCCATCTACGGTTTCCGATGGTTTCCGATTGTTGCGGGATGCTATGAAATGAGCACTCGTCTAAGTATGAGCAGTAAGCTCCTAATTTGCAGCGGTGAACTGAGTGCGAGTTTGGACGCTTACACTGCGTTCATGAGTTGCGTCAGCGTACACCAGCGTTGA